TTTATTTTTTTTAAAGATGACGAGTAAGGGGATCTCAACCTTTGGCTTGGTGTTGTCAGCACCACGCTCAGCCAGTGAGCCAACCGGCCATCCCTATATAGGATCCGAACCCGTGGCCTTGGTGTTATCAGCACCACACTCTCCCAAGTGAGCCACGGGCCGGCCCTTCTGTCTGGATTTTTAACACATTTTTTAAATTTAGAATTTAAAAAAGGTGTTGAGGAAAAATGTTTTAAAGATAAAATGAATTTTTGTGATAGAAGTCTTAAAAATAATTACCATTTTTTATTAATATGTTAGGCTGTTAAACTACGGGGAAAAAGGCTAGGGAATCCTTTGAAATGAAGAAAATTTTACTGTGTAGAACTATTGAAAGAGATGATCAAGGACACATATATTTCTTCAGGTGCATCTTATTTAGCCACAGACTCAAGAGTTTCGTGCAAAGTGGCCAACTTCTAGCAACTGAAAACATGCTGAATCCTGCAGTGACCTTAAGTGGGTTTTAGGTGAGCCTCACTGACTTTTCTAGCTGAACCCTTTACTCTGAAGGCCACTCGTGGGTTTCCAGCTGCTCCCATTGGTGTGTCCTCCCTTTTTCCTGCTCAGTCGTTTCCCTAAGAATGGCACAGAGCCACTGAAGAGGCCTGTGGCTGGCTGATAGATAGGCATCTCCTGGCCATTTTCTCAAGAACCTCTTACAGGTTTAGAGCTGTGGTTGCTCCTCAGGATCATCTTTTCCAAAATCTAGGTGTCTGATCCCCACCTTGGACACTTTGCATTGAAATCTCTGGAGATGCATTTTGAAAAATCTAACCCTATACTCTCACTTTCAACCTGTGTTCTAGAAGCTCTGGCATACCCTGAGGTTCAGTGTGCAATAAGTGATTAACCGAATACAAGGACAGAAAAAGGGAAGAAAAGGAATCCTGACAAGTTATCTACAAATTTGATTGCATAAAGAACTTCAGAAATCTCTTATTTCCACCTACTTTGTACTGCAGAGGCCTGAGAGACAGCCAGAGAGGTCAACTGACTTTCAAGATCACGTCATACTAGTACAGAGCCCAAGATCCTGACTTTAATTTTTTTAAACCTCTGACCCATTGTTTTCTTATATCTGCTGGAACATTTTTCTTTTTTTCTTTTATATAGATTATTTAATCCAGAATATTTCATTTGTCTCTGCACGGTCTATGTGTCCAAACATAATTTTCTTAAATGATAGAAAATGGATAGTGGAGACCTACAGAAACATGCTTAATGCTTGTCAATCTGCTGATCCTTGGGGGAAAAGGGTGGTTTTTGTAAAGGATAAAAATAATATGGATAATTATGTTAATTTTTATTAACCTGACAGTTCACAACCTTAACTTTGACTAACATAAAATAACCTTTGAGATTAATTTTTATTTTTAAAAAGTTTTAAATATATTGAAAGCTAGTCTTTCAGTTTCAGATTATAACTTCTCTGGGTAACATACCTTCAAATTAGTTTGATTCGAAGCAAGAGATTTTTGCTTTCCAGAGAAAAATGAGTTCTCAAAATAGCACCATTGTGCAGTTAAATGTATAACACATTGGTATTTTGGAAAATTCATCTTACATTGTGGAAATAGGATTTGGTTAATGGTAGTATTTTTTTTTTTCTTTTTTAGCAGATATTCTGCTTGAGCCTAAAGTTCTTCTGATGTTTGTATTTTTTTGTTTTGTTTTGTTTTTAACTTAATGTGACAGCTTTAATAGCAGCTCTAGAACCTCCATTTGTTAGGGAAATGGTGTGACAGGTGGTTTAGAATCCTCTTCCCCACTTTTCTCATCTATCTGAGCCTTGGTATATCCTCACGTAATAAATTTGAATAATAATAATAATAGCATTATCTCTTATGATTATTGCAGGGATTAAATGAAATGGCAAGTGTAAAATGCTTTATACAGTACCTGGCACATAATAAGTGTTCAGTAAGTAAAGTCCACTAATATAGAGAAAACCCACTGACTTTTTTTTTTCTTGGCAGCTGGTCTGTTCGGGGATCCGAACCTGTGACCTTGGTATTACAAGGCTGTGCTCTAACCAACTGAGCTAACTGGGCAGCACCCACTGACTTTTTAAGAACACATGCTACGTGTACCTATCTTTACAATGCAGATTGTATCAGTCAGTGCCCAGTTATCAGTGATAATAGAAGTTGTGTTTTCTCAGGATTTCATCCAGTCAAGTAAACTAAACTTGTTATTGTTTGTAGTATAAATCATAAATGATTGTGGGAATCCCAACTTAATCACATATTCAGGGAAATTAAAAAGCTTTTCAAACTCAGTTTTACTTGTAAATGGCTTATGACATCTTTAAAAGTATTTTTTGTTTTGTGCATTTTTAAAAAAATGTCTCTCGACCGCAAGTTATATGTATGGTATATATTACAAATTATATACTGCAAGTTATGTATTATATACACAAGGGCACTTCAAAACGTTTGTGGAAAATAGAATTAAAATATTATACAAATCTCTCCATGAACTTTTCAAAGTGCTCTCCTATAAGCCACCTCACTTCCTTTCTTTTTCTTTCTTCTATTGTGAAACCCTCCCTGCTGATTCATGTCATTCTTAAAGACTCAAAAACCAAAACTAAAGACAGCCACCTAAATGTTACCTTTCCTTGCCCCTCTCTGTCCTACCTTTCATAGTCAAGCTCCTGTGAAGTCTTTTTTATTTTTGTTTTATTCCTCCTGTTCATTGCTTGGTTCTCTGCAATCCAGTTTCCACCTTTGCAGGCACACTCTGAAATTGCCCTGGCAGAAGTCACCAGATCTACTGGACAGTCTTTGACTTCCTTTTCAGGGTCATTTGAGTCATTTCACCATTTCCTCATTGAAACCCTCTTCCCTTGACTTTCAGGCTGCCACTTTCTCATTCCTCTCCTGTATCTACTACATTAGATTTCCTCTCTTGCGTCTTTTCTTTTGTGCTCACGCTTTGGTGGTATTCCCAGGATTCTGCCATCTGCCTGAGGTGATCGCTTCTACTTCCTTGACTTTGGCTCTCATACCCGTATGGTTATTACTTCCAAATAATTACCTTCAGCTCCTCCCTCTCTTTTGAGTTTCCTTATTTCCAGTTGCTTACGAGACCTCTCTGTATGGTTCTCCCAGAGATGTCTCCAATTCTACACACCTGAATATAGTTGTCCCCCATCTTTGCTCACCCAACACCACCTGCTTTTCCTTCTGTGTCAGTGAATGGCATTGCCATCAGCATTTGGCTGGTCATCAAGGCCAGATACCCCAGAGTCACCCTGGCCTCTTTCTCCCTCCTCCCTCCCTTTCAGCCAGTCACCAAGTTATATTGACTGTGTCTCCTAACTTCCTTTATGCAGTGCTTCTCCACTCCCCCTCCACTCCCATTGCCTTAGTTAGACCCTCATCTCTCACTGAGACTATAGCAACAAGCTTCCTAACTAGTGTCTCTGCCTTCCAGGTTGTCCTTTCCCCCAGACTATCTAGTACCATTGCCATACTGAGATTCTTAAAGCCTGAATGTAATGATCTCCTTCACATATTTAGAAACTTTTTAGCTCTCTGTAGTCTGTATAATAAAGCACAGCCTCTGTAGGTTGGCAGATAAGACCTTTCATGGTCTGGATAATCCCTCCTTGTCCACAATTCCTGTCCAACCCCATCTTTTTGCACTTTCCCCCTTGCACTCTGCACTCTATTTGTGCTGATCTCCTGTAGTTCTCTGGAGACCACGTGACATCTCTCACTTCCCTCTTGCCTTAGCACGTTTCTCTTTGCCTTAAACACAGATACCTTCTTGATTACACCTCCCCTCCCTCCCACACCCAACAGACAGCTGATCAGTTCTCTTTTTGTGCTCTCAGAGTATTTTATTTTTCCCAGTGTCTTGAAATTCTTTATCTACTTTCTTCACCAGACTAACCTCCTAAAGGACAAAGAAGTCTTAGTTATTTTAGCATTCCCAGTGCCTAACCCAGTGGCATAGGTAGGCAATTACTAAATGATATGAAATATTGTTCATGAAACTAAAGATTTTTAGAGGGGGAAGCAGTATACTTAATGGAAGACTGAATAGTTCTATCAAATTTTTTTTTTAAATGGCATGTGAGGGGCTGGCCCGTGGCCCACTTGGGAGAGTGTGGTGCTGATAACACCAAGGCCACGGGTTCGGATCCTAAATAGGGATGGCCGGTTGGCTCACTTGGGAGAGCGTGGTCATTAAAAAAAAAAAAAAAACGGCATGTGAGGAGAAGCCTTAGATCACCTGTGTGGCTTCAATGGCAGAATTAATGTTGACAAAGTAAATGTCTACTGCTGGCTTAGACCTAGGATGAATACATGTGAATGTATACGATGCCCGTACCTTCTTGCCTTCATTGAGAATCTGGAGTTAGGCCATTTGAGTTATAGTCCTGGCTTAATTGCCAAATTTGGACTTTTCTGGGTCTCAGTTTCTTTGCCTCTTGACAGAAAAATGGAGATGACACTTTTGTTGTGATTATATAGATCACCTGTGTGGCTTCGATGGCAGAATTAATGTTGACAAAGTAAATGTCTACCTCTCGGCTTAGACCTAGGATGAATACATGTGAATGTATACGATGCCCGTACCTTCTTGCCTTCATTGAGAATCTGGAGTTAGGCCATTTGAGTTATAGTCCTGGCTTAATTGCCAAATTTGGACTTTTCTGGGTCTCAGTTTCTTTGCCTCTTGACAGAAAAATGGAGATGACACTTTTGTTGTGATTATAATAGCTCACAATGTTTTGAGGAATAAATGAGTTAACATCTCAGGGTGCCTAGGCTAATGCGTAGCATTGAATAATGCTTAGTAAATGTTCACCAAATTTGAATTAGTCTCCTGTTTCTGGATGCTTTTAGTAAAACATTACTCTCATGTTAAATAAAAGTAATGTGTTTGTGTAAGCTGACACCAGAAAGAAAAAAAAACTGATTCAGTTGCCTTTTTTCCCTCCAAAGATTTGTTCATTGTACTGATGATTCTCCAGATCCTTGTATGGAATATGAGGTAAGAAACTTTTATTTTCCTTGATGACATTGATAATCCTAGGTGAAGATGTGTTGAGAATTACTATTTATTCTTAAGTGAAATGAAGGAAATTTTTTGGATTAAAAAAATTTTGTTTTGGATTTGGTTTCTCTGGGAACCTAGAGCCACTGAATTTTTAAATGTGTGAAATATATCATATATATAAAAGAATATATATAGAATACATATATAGCATATATATACACATAGAGTATACACATGCTACGGAATATACATATTCTGTAAAAAAAAAAAAAACCTTTATACTCTCCACTCATCTGAATCTGATTGTTTTTAACCTAGAGTACTTCAAGTTCCATCTCACAGGTCTTGAAGGGCAAAGAGGTGTGTGCAGGATAGGGAGGGTGGGTGTGTTCGCCGTTTATTATCAGTTAATGCTGCAGCATAACAGGACTGGTTGTCTCCAAAGAACATTTTAAAAACACAAAGAGAAGCATACATTTGTCAACTGTTCTATTTCTAAATTTGCAGTAATTCGATAGTACTTGACAGTTTATATATTAAATAATTATTAATTACAGTAATAAAAGACCTATTTATGACCTGGGCTACTGATAGAATTGGTTTGCTTTTAAATAATGAGAAAATCATGGAAAGGGTTATGGTGATTTTTTGTGATAAACCTTAATAATAATTATATCAGAGTAAGGATTATAGAGTGGTGCTTAATGTCAATAACATTGAAATTATTTTATTTTTTGATATTCCTAAAGGGGTACAGAACATGTGAATTACAGGGCACCTTGTAGCACAATGGTAATAAGATTTGATGTAGTCACCTTTGGTGTTGTGAATTACGTCAGAATTCTCAAAACGGTAAATGAGGAGTGACAAAGGTGCATTCTGTCATGGAGAATTTTAGCACAATTTTCCCTGCTTATTAGAATAATAGATCACAACTCTGTTCCCTACATCTTATGTCAAGAATGTTTTATGAGGCCTCATTTTTTTTAAAACCATTTGATAATGGCAATTAAGATACACTCTTGGCATAAAATTGTCTATTAGATCTTATTACATAGTCCTGTTACATTTTTTCCTTTGTCTACAGCTTGTTCTCCGAAAATGGTGTGAATTAATTCCTGGGGCTGAGTTCCGATGTTTTGTCAAGGAAAATAAGCTTATTGGTGAGCTTTTTTTTACCCTTGAAAATCTTTAAAGTGATCTTTAAAAAAAGACAAGCTTTTGATGGAAGTAAGTTTCTAGTAATTAGGACAGGGATGTAGATCAGTTTAAATCTCAGTTTCCACCAGTTGGCTCTGACTCTCTATAATGCTGTGTTGATAAGGATCCTGAGCCCATATTCAGTTTCCACAAAGAAAAGGTATTGTAAATTAATCATGTCTTTCTGGATTCCAGAGGTGAAAGTGATGGCCATTACCATTCCTGATTTAGAATATGTGTAATATTACCAGCTTTCTGTTTGAGACTTTCCTAAGTGTTACTAACAATAGATTGCTTATTTTAGGCAAAATAGAAAGCCATGTTTTGAATGTTTATTTCTGTTATTGGGGCACTGTTTATTACTCTAGCAAGAGAAAATATGTGGACAAATTACTCTAAAAGTCACCCATTTTCTTTCCTCTCAGGTTGCTATGATTTATTCAAGTTAAATATTAAAGATAATTTGTTCTTTTTTATCTATGCATGTTTTCCATGAAGTAAAATTTGTCTTCAACCAAGAAAAGTGTAATTTGAATAGAATCAAATGAACACAATTTATTCATTGAATGTGATGTTGAAATTTATTAACCTAACTAAAAGAAACTCAGGATGTTTGAATTTATTGTATTGTTAAATATTCCTGAAAAAAACTTCAGTATAAGTATGCTAATGAAGTCAGTCATAGCAGCACGTATCAAATTCCTTAATCAAGGAATTGGAAGCCCTTACTTCAGAGCAGAGACCTTTTTCCTAGGACTGGAGCAAATTGAGGGAGTTTGTATAATAGTCCCTTTAATGTATTTGGAATAATATAAGCAAGTCTCTTTGGAAAAAGTAATGTTTACTTTTCCATGGCTTGAAAGATCAGGCTTGTGAAGGCAGAGTAGCATGTATGAACAAGAAAAATAGAGTGCACATTCTATGAAGTACAATATGAAAATGGCAGGCATGTGATGAGGGATATTTTAAATTTTCCCAAAGAAAGAGGAAGAGAATACCAATTTTTAGAGGCTTCCTTGGAAAAATCAAAGTAGCAGCAATTGATTATGCTTACAGGTTTAAAATTGCTTCTTTTATTTATTAGATAACAGGTCTTTTTATGACTTTGAATTTTTTCCATTGTACTAAATGAAAATAACTGCAAAAGTAAGAATGCATGGCAACATGAACTTTACAATTTGACTATCCATGTGAATCTGTACAGCTGCCCAGTAACAGAAATTAGTGAAACATGCCCAATAACAGAAATAAAGGTTAAATAATGTGTAATGTAGTATTCATCAGACCGGTCTGCTGATCTGCTTTCATGGTTCTCTCAAAAAAAAAGTTTAAATCATATGCTGGTGTTTTTGAAAAGAATATTGTATAATAGCAGAATGTAAAATATTTTTCTCATCAGGTATTTCTCAAAGGGACTACACACAATACTATGATCATATTTCTAAACAAAAGGAAGAAATTTGCAGAGGCATACAAGACTTTTTCAGGAAACACATACAGTATAAATTCTTAGATGAAGACTGTGAGTATTTTTTATTAACCCAATGAAATGAAATACATAATATTACTGAACCTTATTTCACTGTGGTGCATATTTTAAAAACTGGATTTAAAATACTGTTATATAAGCTTTTTACTGTAATACTATTTGGTATTGCTGATGGTTTGCGTGTTAATTTCACCTCATTTAATTAGAACCCATTTTTAATACCAAGACAGTTCTCTCTCCTGTTGTTTTAGATGTTTGATTGTGTATGAGATATTTCAAAAAGTTCATGGAAAAATAGGATTAACCTAATACCAATCTTTCCACAACCTTTTGGAAGTACCCTTCTACTTCAAAGGGTTTATCTACAGAGAACATAGTCCTACATTTCTAGCTTCTTTGCTTGAATGATCAAACACAGCACCAATTACAAAGTAAACAACTGTGGGTTGTTTTTAGGAATTGAAAGAATATTATGTGAGAGAGTTTTCATACATCTTAAAATTATATGTTATGATTTACATTTTCTCTGCTAGCCAAGACTGGAATCTTGATAGATTTGATTTTTAAAAAGATGGATCATGCCATAAGCATAGTTAGATTTTATGCTTTATTATTACAAATTTTACTCATTTTATTTCAAAATAAGTGACTGATGCTCCTTTCACTAGTACTTTCCTCAGTGGCAGCTTCCTTCATTCCCTTATAACCAGTTTATAGTGGTGAACTAGTTGAGATGATGTTGATGTTTGGTTTGAATTTTTAAATATAAGAGATTAATGTTGGAAATAGAGAAAAGGAAAGCAAAGTGATGTAAATAAAACATTGCAGGATGCCTTTTTATATTTGAAGTTTTGAGATTTAGAAGCATTGAGTCTTCGAGGTCAATTATATTCTGCTGTTTGATTAACTAGTAATAAATTGCACTTTTATTTTCAAAAGGAGACTTAGATCATGAAAATATCAGTTCATTAATAACTTCAAGTTTTTTTCTCCTTTACAGTTGTATTCGATATATATAGAGACAGTAGGGTAAGTAAAAACTATACTTGATATGCTTTAAAATCAGGGCAGGGCTTACAAACAAGCAGTGTACACAGCCATTATGTGTGTGAAAGATCTACTGCTCAAAAAATATTTTCTCAAACTAAGATGTTTGAAATTCACAATGGTCACAGTCTCCCCTTAAAATATACCTGACATTAGGAAACATCATATCTTAAATAATTATGTGCCACAGTCTTAGGGATTACTAATTTAACAAGTGGGTAAATGGCCATTTTGCCTCCTACTTTACGTTTTTGTCTAAGATCTGGGCCTGCTTAAAATAGTAAAGTTTGCATACTTAAATATGGCCAGGGATTTGTCATTTGATATTCAGATAATTATTTTTAGTCAATTAAAAGATTCTTAGCATGATTTGAGTCACGTTTAGATTGAAGATGAGGATTAGAGTAGTCTACATTTATTCTTTAAATTTAAAGTTTAAATTTATGCTTTAAAAGTGGCAAAAACTTCTGTAGTGAAAAAGAAAACAAAAACCTGCCTTAATAAAGAATTCCTACAGCAGAGATTTCACTGGGCAAGACATGTAATCTTTTCAAAGAAGTTTAAGTCACTAAATGTTGTCCTGTGATTACTGCTTTTTGACTTATCTCTTAAGTAGATAGTAGGTGTGTTTTCCAATATGTTACTCACACACCAAGAGAGTATTTCTCATTCCCTTTCCATGATCGGATCAGCCTCATCATAGTGAGGCATGTTGTACCTTTGAATCATTTTTTGGACAAAAGGATATGGCCCATATGGTCCTGTCCCCAAATAACTATTTACTTAACTCTGTTAAGTAAAAAGACATCTTTCTGTCTTCAAGGATGATGATATCTATTGAGTTAGAAATGCTGGCTGGTTAGATCAGTTGGTTAGAGCACAGAGTTATAACACCAAGGTCAAGGGTTCAGATCCCCATACCAACCAATCACAAAAAAAATGAGAGAGAGAGAAAGGGGCTATAAACTGACATTTGGCAAAGAAGAAGGATGTCACTTGGCAAAGTTTCAACTGTGTGGAAATAATCCTTAGAGAAGGATGGGAAGCCAGTGTGATGGAATGGATAGGAACCTGATCTAACAAGAGGAGTCCACGACTCTAGCTCCGGCTCTGCTTCTAACCGATGGACATGGGCCAAGCCAAATCATTCGTGCAGCCAACATTAATTGAGTGCCTATAATGTGCACTTCTAACAAGAAGCTTCAAACAAGGTAAACTCCAACCTTGGAGGAGTTTATCCCCCATTTCCCTGAATATGCTCATTACTCAGAAGGGCTTTATTCATTTAATTTGATATCTCACTTAATCCATGTAATTTTGTGAGGTATATATTATTTGCCCATATTTTACAGGTACTAAAACTGAGGCAATTATACAGTGGCATTTGAAAAATGTTGGAATTTGCCAAGGTCTCTCAATATATATATATGTGGCAAATGTCCTGATTTGCCATAATTTAGTGGAACTGACAGGTGCAAATGTTTAATTTAGTAAAAGAGTTAAGAATGTCTTAAGTGAAGTTGGACATGTACATAAGTACATGCAGTCTTACAGAACTGAAACTATTTGCATTTTTAAAAGTGGGAAACATGCCAGTTTCTAAGAGTTCTAAATCATGGTGTAAAACTCATTTGCACTTGCTCAATGGCACTCGTATTAGAGTATGTTAGGTACTTTCTTGAATATATAATTTCTTGGCTATTCTTGTGGAAAGCTAACTCTTCTTTTGTGGTAGTTTCTTACATGAAATATAACTGATGTGTGTTTGGACTTGGCAACACTTTGATACGTCTAATTTCTTACGGTGACTAGGCAAGTAGACTTGGTGTTGGTAGATTCTAACCTATCAAAGCAGTGGCCCACCCATTCAGTAGGTCTGGGATGTGGCCTTGAAATATGTATTTTAAGAAGCTCCTTAAGTGATCATAATACACTTGGTCTTATGTATGATTGAAAAAGAAAGTACAGTATTTCAAGTGTGAAGTATTTTGTAGATGTCTTCAGGTTAAGCTTGTTGGTAGTGTTGTTAAAGTCTTCTATATCATACAGATGAAATGATGTCTAAGGATTCCTTCAAAATAATAAAGGTTTTGGGAGACGGGATGGTGTTACAGGTACCAAGTTCAGCCACCCTTTTGCTAGAAATGAAAGACCTGACAGTCCAGTGTTGATGCAAGGTTTGGAAGCTTTATTATCAGGCACCTGAGGAGAAAGACTAAAACTGCCTCAAAGGCTCAGGAGCATCAGCAAGGTTTTTTAAAGGGAGAAGTGTGGGAAACAAAGTGGGGAGGTTATTCCCGTCAGGAGGCTGCTACCTGTAATCTTGAAGACTCTGGGCTTTTGTTATCTCATGGTCAGTCTTGTAAACTCTTCAACTCATCCTTGGGACATGGGCATTGTCTGGCAAACAATTTTCCCAGACAGCTGAGACTTCAAAGGAATTATGGTTAGTTCTGCAAGTTACTGATTAGCTCTTATTATCTTGCTTTTCTAAGTGTTATAGCATTTTTGTATGAGCTATTGCTGTGAACCAAAGTTACAAAAAGACTTCTTTATGGCTAGCATTCTGCTTAAAGCTGTGTTCTATAAAATGGCTCTTCTAAGGCTAATTATTTGACTGTTTGCTGTGGTGGGCTCTTATTATGAGAATAAGATGAATCAAGATTGGCCATGAATTGGTAACTGTTAAGTGGTAGGTACATGGGGTTCTTTATACTATTTGTCTACTTTTGGGTATGTTTGAACTTTCACATTAAAATGTTTTTTTTTTTTTTTAAAAAAAAACAACTTTAAAAACCATGAAAAAAATCTATATCTTTTCTAATTTTTTGTCTACTTTATCTGTTATTGAGCAAGGTATGTTAAAATCTCCTGCTTTCTAATTCTGTCAGTTTTTGTGTTATATACTTTGAAGTTACGTTCTTAGACAAATGCTAGTTCGGAATGGTGTCATTTTCCCAGTGAATTCTCATGATTAGGTAGGGACCCTCTTTATCCCTAATATAATGCTCTTGTGTGTTTTGTATTAAAGTGTATTTTGTCTGATAGTAGTATTATTATAGGTGTTTTTTTTTAATCTTAGAATTTACCTTTTTCATCCTTTTATTTTTAGTTATGTTTTAGGTGTGTGCATGAATCTTGTAAATAGTATATTGCTGGGTTCTGTTTTTTTAATCACTGACGATTTTTGGTTTTAACTGGTGAGTTTAGTTTACATTTATTGTATTTGATATTTGAATGTTTTCAACTGTCTTATTTTGAGTTTTCTATTTGCTTTTCCTTGTTTTTTTGGTTTTTTTTCCCTCATATTTAGATGACTAGATTTTCCTTATTGTTTCCAACCTGCCCCACTTCCCCAACCCCCAAATGATTTTGAAGTTTTGTTTTTAACTCCTGTTATTTTGTTAGTTACCATTAAATCTTAATATGGATATTTAATAAACTCTGAAGTTAATTTCACTTCCTATTGCCCTCATGATGTAAAGACCTTAGAATACTGGTAAGGAACTACCCACCTTTGTCTTACATCTGATTTCTGATTTTTATTTCCACCTTGTTTTTACACCCCCTAAGTTAGTCATTATTGTCACTATTCAATTTCTTTGTTCACCAGTGCTTCTTGCCTCTCACTTCTTTGTGGATCCAGTTTCTTTCTCGTAGTGTATCCTTTAGTAGTTTCCTCAGCCATTGGCTGAAAGGGGTGTTGTTTAGCTTTCATGCTTGAGTGACAGGCTTAGCTGGGTATAGAATTTTTGGGTGACCAGTTCTGTTGACTCAGCACTTTGAAGATGCTGTTCCACTGTCGTCTGGCTTTGCTTTGCATTCCTTCTTTTTTGTCTTTTTTTGTTTTTTGGTCTTTTTGGTCATGCTTTTTAAGTCTGTAAGAGTTTTTTCCCTTTGTGGAATGAGGAAAGTTCTCAGCTGTTATCTTTTAAAACATTTCCCCTTTCTTTTCTCTCTTCTGTCCTTTTGAACTCTTGTTAGGGGTATGTTAGAGCTTCTCACTTTTTCTCCATTTCTCTTAACTTCTCATTTTCAGCCTCTTTCTCTGTCCTGTGTTGTATAATTTTCTCAGATATATCTTCTAGTTTACCAGTTCTCCTTCAGCTATGTCTGATCAGATACATTTAACCTATCGATTAAGCTTTAAATTTTATCAACTGTAGTTTTTCATTTTAAGATTCTATTTAATTCCTTTTCAGATCTGCCTGTTCTTTTTTTTTTTTTTTAATAGTGTATCTTTGAGTTTTGATTTCTTTTATATTTTTAAATTACTGAAAACTACTGATTTTGGAGGGGTCATATTTTTTGCAATGTGATGTACATAGAGTAAAATTCATCCTTTTTACTGTAGAGTTCTGAGTTTGGACAAACACATCCAGTCCTATAACCATCACCACAATGAAGATGTAGAACTGCTCCATCACTCTCCAGAATGCCCTCATGACCCTCCCAGTACTGTAGCCCCTGGCACCTACTCTCTGTAAAACCTACTGAGTCATGTTTAAATTTTTAATTGATAACACATTCACATTGTTTGAAAATCAAGTCAATGTGAAAATATGTGTAGGAAGTCTCACTGTAGTCCCTGTCCCTCTGCACTCCTACAGGTGCACTTTGATAATTTCTTATGTATCCTTTCAGCATTTCTTGAGGCAAAATAAAGCAATAAGCCAATTTTTTTCCATCTTTTTAATGCGGGAGTTAGCATATGATATACACTCTGCACCTTGCTTTTTAAAAGATGGTATCTCTTGCAGAGCTTTCGAGTTTCTTACAATGGCATAGTATTTCATTATGCAGATATACTATGGAGTTTGTTTAACCACTTCCCTGTCAATGAACACATGGGTTGTTTACAGTCTTTTGCAACCTGTGCTGTGATGAATAATCCTGGACACACATCCTTTCATACATGTGCAGGTATATCTACAGGTTGAATTCCTAGAAGTGGGATTGCTGGCTCAAAAGGTTAAATGTGTTTTAATTTTGGTTGGTATTGTGAGTTAACCTCCATAGAAGTTATGCCAGAAAATCCCACCAAGAATGTATGACAGTTCCTATGTGTTTCCTCAAAGTTTGCCAACAGACTGCATGGGCAAACTTAGGGTTCTTTGGGTGATTTTGGTAGAGAAGTGATATTTCAGTACAATTTCAATTTCTAGTTTTTTTTTGGTTTGATGGCCAGGTGCCTCAATTCTGCCTCAGGTGGGCCTGTCCTTGTAGCTGCTTGGGCTTCCTTATAACATGGTGGATGGGTTCCAAGAAAGAGGAAGTGGAAGCTGCCAGTTTTCTTGAAGACTGGGCCTAGTATCACTTACTCTCTATTCTCTTAGTTGAAGTGGCACAGATTCTGCCTAGATTCAAGGGTTGGAAAATACAGTACCATTTCTTAGTGGAGGGAAGTGGTCTTAACAACCACCTACAATCGTCCACAGTTACCACAGGCACATTTTGTGCTATCCTCCTAGCTTTACTTTTCCTTCCCTCTCCTTCAGTCTTCTTTTCTCTAAGCTAAAAAATCCTTCATTGCTTTCCCACTACTTATATGACATCAATTCAAGTCTTATCAATACACCAACACCATTTACTTGATAAACAATTATTATGGTCATGCCAGGAATCAAGATAGGTGCTAGTGATGCTGAGATGACCAAGACATGGGCCCTGTCCTTAACGAACTCATAGATTAAAAATGTACTTTTTAAAAAATCTCTCTGATCTAATTATAATATTTTCCTGCAAGCATCTCACCAAGAACTTATGCCAATATCTTTATTTTATTTTATTTTTTTTTTTTTTGTCTTTTTTTGTGTCCGGCAACGGATCGCAACCCTCAGTGTCGCGAAGCCAATATCTTTATTTTATTTTATTTTATTTTTTTTTGTCTTTTTTTGTGTCCGGCAACGGATCACAACCCTCAGTGTCGCGCCCGTACTGGACCGAGACCAGCAACGGGATCGCAACCCTCGATGTTGCGCCTGCACCTCGCTCAGCCAGTGAGCGGGAACCGGTCTGTATGTGGGATCCGAACCCTCGGTGGGAGCGCTCCCGCGCTCCCAACCAGCGCACTGTAGCAGTGCGCCACCGGGCCGGCCCAATATCTTTATTTTATATTGTCCTTCAGATTGATGATGACTTTCCCAAGTTCCCGGAGCTTGTTGTAGTTGCAGACTTTTATTCATGTTGTTTGTTTCCCTTTGGTTTTGTAAATCAATTCATTTATTTTTACTTTGAGTTCATCTTTAGTGAACTTATATTTTTTATTTGTGAGAATCTCAAAGATCTTAAATTTCACATATTTCATTTGCTTCTACCATGCTCCCCAGAACCCAGTCACAGAAGGACAACTTCGTTGCCTCCTATTCCAGTCTTTAGGATTTTTTCCTTATACTCCCTTTACTGAGGTTGCAGCCCTCTGAAGTTCACTTCTTAGTTCTGATTCCCTTCCTCATGGCCAGTCTCCTCGTCCTCTGTGCATGTTAAAACCCATGCCCTTGGGTTCCCAGGAGGAAAACCCTTCTAAGGTTTCCCACAGCATGTTTGTACACCTAGCTCTGCTTTTCAGGATCCTCTTCATTTCTGACTCCTGTGAATTAGCCTTTCTTCTTGTAAATCTCATTTGTATATTTAAAAGGATTATTTTAATGTGAATTTCATCCTGTTGGGAACAGGAAGTGTTTAAAGTTACCTTAGCCCACTATGTCTCTGGAGCCCTCATGTGTTTTATACTCTAGCCGAAATATCCTTTCCTGGAATGGGGCCGTCATCGCATGGCCTTTGCACATGTTAGGTTTTAGTGTTCTTGCTGCTTTCTCTGAAATCATCTACTTTTCCTTCTTCCACCCGGATTATCATCACTATTATCCTTCACATTCCAAGTTACTGTGGGAAGCTTCTTCAGCCTCAACATGCACATTTAGCCAGGTTCTCGGAATACCCCACTGGAGTCTCATAATACCCTATTCTTGCCTCTGTTAAAGCAGATTTCCCTCTGTATTATAATTGTTGGATCATTTTATGTTCTGATTTGGGGTAGGGGGGGCATCCTGACAGAGGCTGAGCTCTTTGAAGGAATAGATTTCTTTGTTACTGATGTTTATACTCCAATGCCTAACACAGTGTCTGGCACACAGAAATTTATTTGGGTAGGCGGATGGTCAGTTAGTAGGTACAAGGAACGCTGTTATGACTGCACTTTTCTTATGGATTGCCTAAAAACAGAATTAATTTGCCAGGATGTTTTTTGTCTGAGATTTCACATGAAAAACATGTTAATAGCTGTAAAATCCTAATCCTTGTTTTCTGCCTGATTGTAACCAGTTTTATTTTATTATTTTGTATTAGAGGATTAATTCTGAACTGTAGAGCAAACTCTGCCAGCTAATTGTGGTGACTCTTTTTTGTTTTTAAGTATGTTTTGGTTTTTTGCAGTGTGGCTTATTTTTGCTTTATAGAGCTCAGTATTTCTATACTAACAGGTGCCATGGTTGTTTTTTCTTTTAATAATGAGATGGTTTTACCGTTTATAAAAAGTCAGGTAGAAGGGGTTTGGAGGGTAGGAAATATCCATTTTGTTAATATAACATACAGTATATAAAAGACATCTTAGTAATAGCCCCCCCAAAACAAAGCTGACACCATACCAAGAAGTTGATGGGAGGCTGATATGATTTCCTGTAGTCCAGGAATGTAGAAGTGGGTGCCAAATTGAGATGAGGAAACATCACAGGCAGCAAGAGCCATTTGCAGGATTTCTCCTGGGGATTGTATTCAATAAGAAAATCACCCAAATGGAGCATGGTGAAAACTTCCCATAATAATTCTCTGTCACTTACTGGAAGTTTCTGATGTTTGAAGCAAGCCTAATCAGAGGTTTCATTTTCCAATTTTGCTTTCACCCAGGTGAGAAGCTGGGCTAGATATTAGTAATGCTGGCTCAGCAGTCTTGTTCCATAGACATATGTAATTTTTATTGTATGATCAAGACATGACAGCTACACATTTATAGGAAAAATTATTAACAGCAAAACGGTGTGCAAACATGTGAATGTTTCAATGAGAAAAATCAAAAGGAACCAAGATAACAATTTCAAGGAAACATTCATCTCCTACAGTCACGTAGATTTTTGTGAGCAAAGGCATTGGCCTTACTCTGTGGGAAGGACTGCACACATTGCCCAGTGGTGCTATGTCAGTGCCCCTCCAGTTTCTTCCTTGGTGCACCTGTCTCTAACCACCTGCAGTCTGACCAGGTCAGAAGTGTTCTTTCCCTGAGGCTAGAGTCCATCTGGTTGCCCAGCTGGATTCTCAGAATAGAAAAAGGTAGAAATTTCTTTCAAAGGTTGATTTTTTTCCATCTCCCCTTTATATGCTATGAAGCTCTATCATACAGACAAAATAAATATGACATTAATATTTAAAGAAAACTGAGCATTTCCATACTTCTTGTAGTTTGTTAATAAAAACCCCCCCTGCACAGCAGCCTTTTAGGAATCAGAAGGTGCTGTGAGAGCTGCTAGCTCCTCCCTGCCTCTGCCCAGAAAGTTGCCCTGAAAGTAGCATTGAAGACACTCTGGGAAGCAGTTCAGTCATATCATGGCAGGTGCACCTGTTTGTGACATTTTCCTTTTTACTGCTTGGATTTTTGACATAAGATTCTAATGTGACATGAGGCAGGAGTTGGAAGACATGTCATCATCAGGGCTTTTCCTTCCTGAGTCCCCTCTCTGCCTTCAGAGGTGATTTTTCCTTTAGAACTTTGTCTACTTTACCTAGACAGGTGGCCCTTTCTCAGATGGGACCTGGAGGAACTATCTTTTGAAATAAGTTGTAAGATTTTTAATATTGTCTTTTGGGGAAAATAACATGGAGAACATCATTCAAATAAGACAGAATGTAGACTCTGTTTTTATTTTATACTTAATTTTTTCTCTGTGTATAACAGGGGAAGGTGTGGCTAATTGACTTTAATCCATTTGGTGAAGTCACAGATTCACTACTGTTTACTTGGGAAGAACTGATATCTGGGAAAAACTTAAAAGGCGATTTTAGTGAAGGAGATGCTCAGGAGCAGGTAAGACTCTTTTCAAAGAAGACTTAAAGAAACCGTTTTTAATCCACTGAGTAGTTGCTTGCTTCTTCTTTAGACACATGGAAAGGCAATGACCAGGATCCCTGGGAAGTGCATAGATTCACTGATAGTGACTTGCCCATGGAGGTGATCACGAAGGGTGTACACTGTGTTTCATTCATTTTACTTCATATAAAGAAATAGTGACCATCTGGTACATTTTTTTCTAGTTCTTTTTCTTTCTCTCTGCTCCTTCTGTCACGCCCCACCTGGAGGAATCTCAACCCTGGGCCAGTTCACACATCTGTCTGTTCTGACCTTGCCTCTGCTGTGCACGCAGATGGAGAGCGAGGCCCACAGCACAGAGCGGTGTCATCGCAGTCATGACCTCTGGCTTTATGGCCAGTTTCCCTACTATCCTTTCTCTTGCATTATCTGCAGTGGCTAGTTCACACCTTTTCCATGCTCCTCAAGTCTTCCCTCCCATCATCCCTTCCCTTCTTCAGATGATTTCATTTCCTCCTTCGTGGGAAGAGAGAATCCACTTATGAGAATTCACTCAGTTGAATTGTCATCCATCCCGAAAATTCACCCACCCCTCCTAACTCTAACCTCTCCATCTGCTCTTCATATACCTTGTGCTAGTTTTCCATTCTCTTCCTTTCTACCAGCTCCTGTCCATGAGGATTTAGCTGGGTTCAGGTATCTTTCATCTTAAAAAACAAAACCTTCCACCCCATTTCTCCACCCAGCTACTCTCTCCTTTCTCTTCACCTTCACTGCTAAACTTTCTTTAAGCAATAACTTTGTATTGCTTTAATCTGCCTGTAAAAGTAATGCATGCTCATTTTTACAGAAAAATATAAAATCACCTACAATCCTACTGCCTTTTGAGCTGCTTTTTACATTTTGGTCTATAACATATATTTATACATACACATAAACCTTTTTAAGTAAATGAGGGTATGCTATATATGCAATTGTGTATCCAGAGTTTTTCATTTAGTATTATCTGGTGATCGTTTAATCTTTTCGAAAATACTGTTGGTTTTACGTGGTCACTTAAGAAAACAGAGAGAATTAGAAAGAAGCAGGACTTGAAACCCTACTACCTAGGAATAGCCATCATTACCACTTCAGTAGTATTCTTCCAGGCTTCTCTGTTTTGTGCACACGTGCACGCGCACGCACACACACACACACACACTTTTACAGAAGTGGGAGCATCCTGGTTTCCCTCAGGCCGTCACCTAACGTGCTTTTTGTAAACCCCCAGCAGTTGCACCTCATGACAGCCAGCTTCCTTAGACAGTTGTCCCTTTTTACAGAAGTGGGAGCATCCTGGTTTCCCTCAGGCCGTCACCTAACGTCCTTTTTGTAAACCCCCAGCAGTTGCACCTCATGACAGCCAGCTTCCTTAGACAGTTGTCCCTCCTGCTGCCTGTTGCCTCTCACCTGTATCACCTGCACACTCCTCAGTCCTCTGCTTTTGGCTTCTGCCTGCCACTCACCAGAACCCACGCTTGGCAAGGCCTCTAGTGGCTTCTTGCGAGTACCAGTGAACGATGCAGTCTTCCTCCTCCTGCATCACCTGGTGGGACTTGAACACATCACCTTCTTTCTTGTTCTTGCTTCTGTGACACCCACTGTCCTCCTGGGGCTCTTCCTGCTTTCCTGGTTGCTGCTGTGCTTTTATTGTGAGCATCTTTTCTTCTGCCCATCTCTGAAACATTTCCTCTCATCATCGCTCTGTCCTGGGCCCTCTCTGGCCCTGTGTCTCCAGCTCTGAGTCAGATCAGTATTTACCCTACAATGGCACTTGCCAAGCTGCCTGTTGACTTGCCCACGTCCTGCGTTAGACTGCCAGTTTCTGAGAACAGGGGTGGTGTGTCTCTCTTGTTCTCGATGGGTCTGCAGGGCTTAGCACAATGTCAGGCACAATTAATGTTTGTCAGATTAATGAATGGGGGAATTTTGTCCCTGCTGGCATCTTACAGTAGTGGGCCATTAAATCTGGGAGACATGAAAGGAGAATGTAAATTATCCAGCACAGGTGTTATTTTTAAATATGAGGGACACAATTATTGGACAGAAGCAGTTTGTACAAGGTTAACTGTGACTGAAAATCCTTTATCTATCTGTTTATTTCTTCTAAATACTGGCAGTGGGGGCATGACAAAAGGGAACCAGGAACTGGCTGCTGCCTCCTTCCCCAGCATCACCACCTGCCTGTCTCCCCCGGGCTCAGGCCACACAGACCTACCGTCCCTGTGTTCCACGAAGCTGCAAAGCCCACCTGGCCTTAGGTCTTTGCACTCGTATTTGCATTGTCTTCCAAGACAGTTCTGCTCCTGCGCCCTCCCAAGGATGCTCTCTCACCCTAGTCACTTCTCAGCCCAGATGTCACCCCCATAGCAAGGTCTTACCTGACCATCCCTCTAAAGTAGTCTACGTTGTCATCTTCCTAGTATAGTGCCCTGTTTCTCTATTTCCATAACACTAACACTTTTTACTACCTAAAATGATCTTGCTAATTTATTTGTTTGCTTGCTTACTGTCTATTTCCCAGACTTATTTACCAATTTATGTCCCAACCCAGAACAAAGTCCAGCACAAAGTAGGTGTTTCATAACTGTTTGTCAGATGATCAGTCTGTGTGTCTATCATGAAATGTGGCCTGCTTTCTAGGGCTCCGTGGTCCTGATCCATTCAAGTTGCCAGCCTGTCTCCTTCTGCTGGACACTATCCATCCTCACCTACCTTTCTGCCACCCAGGAAGTCCAAACCCAAGGCTTTTCGTCTCTGAAATCCTTTTTGGCACAAGGAAACATGTAAATATTATATGCAAGAGTCTAAGCAAGTACATTAAAGAATGCAAAGACTCGTTAAACCCAATACTGAATTTGCAGGTTTACATAGATGATGTGAAAGATACACAAGTAGATTAAATGACCTATAAGAAGTACAACAGTGTTAAGGAATTCAAAGCACTCATTTGCTCTCACTATTAACTCTTCTGTAAGACAGTACTTCCCAACTGCACACCTGTAAAAAAATAATATTTATAAAGCATTCTGGCTATTATATGGGATTGCTCCAGGTCAGAGATGACTGGCCTCAGGCCCTGGCCCACTCAGTGGCTAAAGAGATCCATAATCCATAACCCACTTGTGGCACTGAATGGTTGCACTCTGGTGGCATTTAGGGATCAGCCTACTTCTCCATGGGGATACTCTTCAGATTTTCTAGTGAATATGTAGGATTATTTCAAAGCCTTGGTGCCTTCTTTACTTTAGAATCTTATTTTCTTATCTAGTACAGAAGAGAACATGGAGTTGAAATTGTTATGCTAGGATATTTTTTACTTAGGAGAATAGACCTAAAAAAAAATTCCTCACGGACTTTCTTTTTTTTCATTTGTAAAGGATTCTCCAGCTTTCCGTTGCACCAACAGTGAGGTGACAGTCCAGCCTAGCCCCTATCTAAGCTATCGACTGCCCAAGGACTTTGTAGACCTTTCTACTGGGGAAGATGCTCACAAACTAATAGACTTCCTTAAACTGGTACAGTTTATGCATATTTAGAATACTGGTCATCTTTTCAAATTGTTTTGCAACTTGGCTTTGTAATAATTCATTTTAGTCTTATACCACCTAGACTTTTATTTGATGATTATGAATTAAAGGAACAAAATTACCAGTTAGATTATTTTATAATGAATATGAAATGTAAGCTGAAGGAATAATTTATTGATTAGAATGATAGAAAATGTTTTTATGATGTACATGCTTCTTGAAAAAATTTTATATTATTATTTACTTTGAAGAAAGTATGTATATTGTTATAGGTCTAAGAGAAGATCAGTTCTCTGATATGGTTACTCCAAGGGAAATGTGAATATTTGTATTTCTGTGTAGGAGTGTTTTCCATATGGAAGAACGAGTAGAAAATATTCAAATGTCTGAGGATAATTTGCACAGGAGCCAAAGTGGTAAACTAGTCTAATGAATCAGTTAGGGCATGTTTTTCCATGGTAATTTTCAACCACATCTTTTGCCAGGACCTCTAGAAAATTGTACTTGATGACAAAAAGAGTGATCTTGGATGAACAAATATCCCAATTACAATGTGTTGTTTTCATGTTCTCTTGGTTTCCTTTGACAGAAAAGAAATCAGCAAGAGGATGACTGATTAGAGTGTTAGAGTTCAAGCCCCAGTTAAAGAGGAAACCATTGCTACTCCAGGAGGCTGCGTATAAGCCACAACTTCCTATTGACCCAAATCGGATGGGGGTGGGGGCGGGCAGTGTAGAAGTCAACAGCTTTTTGTATTCATGTATATTCACCTGGAAAAATGGAGGGACTTTGCTACTTGTAAACATAACATAATAAATAGATCTTAAACATAGGAAACCATACTGTTCTGATTGTAAAACACTTTCAATGAAATATGTTGCTCTTCTGGCTTAGTATACTTAGATTTAGCTATATTTCTTGTACTGATATTTTTATACCTATCAGGTAGATGGACACATTTATATTTGTTACACAGAAACGGATTCTTCCTTAATCATTACTTTTCCATTTAAAAAATAGAATCTTATATTACTATAGAAAATAGTTTTCCTGCTTTGAGAATTTTCATATAATTTGCCTTTCAGTTTAGCTTCAGTTTGGGTATAGCTAAAAAACAAAGACTTCCTAAACTATCCAGTAACCTTGAAATTTTTAGTATACTACAACCACCTTACTATATACTAGTAGAACTATCACAGATTTCATTATAATTTGGCCTTTTAAAGAAATACTGGAATTTTTGAGGAGGTAGATTGATTTTCTTTAAAAAGCCACTATATTAGTAAATTATTCTTCAGTTCCCTAAGTGGTGGTGATGGTATCAACAGTGTATAATTTATTATGTGCCAAGACATTCTGCTAAGTCCTCTAATTTTACATCACTGAGCAACTTGAAGGATATAAACATTACAGTTTCCCAGGGTGTATCTATCTAATGTGGTATCAAAGAATATTTTACTCATTGAAGATGTGTTTCTCAACATACAAGAACACATGTGAGTGCTGCCTGTAGGAAGACAGAGAGAAAAGTAAAGTTTCCCCTTACTGTGCATGTAAAGCAGATTATATATGATATAATGATGAAAGATGTGATTTATTTTTTGGTTATCTGAAAATCTATAGCTTTTTGTGTGGTTTCACAGTTACAGTTGCTTGATATTAGTATGTTAAATACAAAGATCAAGTTATGATCTTTGTACTCAGTATATCAGATGCCATTTTTGAGACCAATTGTGTGAGATACAGGTGCTTCAAAGTATTTCTGGTTTTTTAAACTGCTCTTGGGGTGTCTATTAACCCATGATAGAGGGGGTTTAGTATGGTGAGTTGTTTTAAGTTTAGTTCTGGAAGTTGGCTTCATCAAATGGTACTTTACCAGATTTAAAAAAAAGAAGTAAATGTATTTGATGCCAATTGAAAACATTTAGATACATAGAATAAAAAGACCCACGTAAAATTTGGCAGATAGTTCATAAACAGTACAATTCCTGGTATAAAACTCATTAACTTTTTACATTAGTTTTCCAGAGAAAATTGTGGAGTTCAACTATCACTTCATTTAAAATGTGATTTTTGTACATTGTTTCCTTAGTATATTTAATTTTTGATTATCCTGATGTTAATATTCTCCTAAATTACATTGTCATTTATGCCTGCCTAAAGATTAGTTTTGAGTTATCCTCTTATTTTATTGGAAATATCTTTCTTTACTTGAGGTATTTCAGATTTGTGCTTGAATTTGGAAAATGAATACATATATGATTGCTTAGCTTGTCTGTGAAATCCTACCTTCTGAAGAGAACATTACAGCTGTTGACTTTGAAGGGTTGGATAAACATATTTACTTTGGCTGGCAGGCAGTGGCATGTAGCATGGGCCTCCTGAACACAACAGATTTTGCCAAAAGTTCTGTTTTTAAAAGTCTCATTTTGATTTGCATTTTCTGAGTTCATAAATATTTCCCATCTACTCAGCCATTTCTCTTTTTGGTGATTGAGGATTGTGTCTGTCAAAAAACAAGCAGAAACTATGTGGCTGAGTTTTTTGGCCCAAGTTTGTTTTTTACGTATAAAGTGGGAGAATAATCATCCTAAATTCATGTGTCTTTTAAGTGAGATAACCCACTAAAGCTTTTGGTCTAGTGCATCACACGTAATAATAAGCCCCCAACAAATGGTAGCTGCTATCGTTCTGCTTTGCAGACCTCTGTATATTAAGGACAAGTTCTTTTTAACAGAAAAAGGAATATTTTGAGTGGAAACGGACTTCAGAGACCATTCAGCCCAGTTTCTTTTTCTCCCTCCCCCTCTCCCTCCCTCGCTTCCCTTCCTTTTTTAACAGACAGAAAAACAGAGGTGTTAAGACTTGTCGAAAACTTTGATTGTAGCAGAATCAGAGTCAAAACAGAACTTCTTGTCTAATGCTCTTCTCTAAGGATTTCTAGTCCTTATTTTTATTTTTATTTATTTATTTATTTATTTATTTTGCGACCTGTAAGGGGATTGTAACCCTTGGCTTGGTGTTGCCTGCACTGCGCTCAGCCAGTGAGCGCACCGGCCATCTGAACCCGCGGCCTCGGCACTCCCAGCGCTGCACTCTCCCGCGTGAGCCACAGGGTCGGCCCAAGTCCTTATTTTTAATAGATAAGTTTCAATCAGGACAAATTATTTTAATAAGGAACTGTCAAAAAATAGTTGTTTTTAAAATTATGTAAGTGCAAATCCATTTCACACATTTGTGGGTAGAAGAATCAAATAAAAAGGTATTAAATGTAAGAAATTAAATGAAGAAATAGCTGTCTGAAAGGTCAATGCAATTTCATGTTTATGTTAACCAGACTGATCTTGAGAGGTGGCTTAGCTATGTTTAGACATTTTAAAGACAGTATTCCTATTTAACTAAACATTCCTGTTTTATTCACGTGTTTCCTTGGCTCGTAGAAAACAGCTTCAGTTCATATGCTAAGAATAAAGTGATAAACTCACCACTCATACACCATGCAGGTATGTTATATATACACATTAAGAGGAGGAGCAGGGAGTAGGATTATAAGACATTGTAGCAAGTAGTTGAAGAAATAGCTAAAAGCTCCATGTTACAGTTTTGGGCAACGAATCTGGCATTAATTTCCTGGAGAGGGAATGCATTCGTATGTCTTTTTTATCAAAGAAAACCAAAATCAGCACTTCTTTTTTTTATTTTATTTTTTATTAGCATACTCATTGCTACAAATCATACTTATTCTTTATGCCCCTTATCCAATCTCTCTTCTACCCCCCCCCCCCCCCCCCCC